AAACCTTCCCCCCCCCCCCTTTTTTTTTTAAAGAGAAACAGCTTATCGACGTAGCATTAAAAAAGAAAAAAAGAAAAAAATAGAACGTGCGATTCGAGTCGAGTATCGAAAGCTCCTGTTTCGTTTGTAATATTGTACATGCATAAGTATGTATGTATACGGATACGTGTACATGTATATATACAGTATGTGTGCGTATGTACACGTTTTTTATATAGAAAAACACGTACGAAAAAGTAAGGTTGAATCTAAGCAATGTGCAAAGATAGTGTATAACACACGAGATTCCGAACAAATCGAAGGCAAAGGCCTGGAGCAAGCCGGTACAACCACAACAACGGAAAATTAAAATGCTTAAACTGCTAGCTACTGCTGAAAAAAAAGAAAAGAGGAAACGCAGCTCCAATCACGATGCATTATAATTACAGTCCTGTACTACTGGCAAATCGAACGTATTCGAAGAATTATTGGTCTCGGTTCCAAGAGACACTGTGGAACTATAATTTTTGTAGACACTCGTCTGAAAGAATAGCGATAGAGTAGAAAAACGTCGTCGGGGGTGTGATGTCTCGAGAGTGACCGATCAATTTCGATTGGGTTGGGGATCTTTTGTGGTTGTCGCGTGTACTTCCTTTGCCGTGTTGTACCGGCTATCCGGCTAATCGGTCACACGTTTCCTCTGAAACAGACATGACGTTTAAACGATAGAAAAAGATAGAAAGAAGAAAGAAAGAAAGAAAGAAAGAAAGAAAGAAAGAAAGAAAGAAGTAATCGGTTACGTAGCCGTATGTAATATGTTTGAATATAGTACGAGCCTGTTGTCCATTACTATGCCAGTGATTGGGGTTGTGTTTTTGATTTGTGGTAGCTACGCTACGGGCCTTGGCCAGTCAAGCGTCGGGCGAGCAAATCCGGACATGGACTATGTGGAGCTGATGGGTCACGGTGAGCTGCCCACGATCGACGAAAATCTCAACTTGGACCACTTTAGCTTCTCCGAGTTCATACAATCGTACAACACTAAGCCGCAATAGGTATGCCAGGCGCGATCATATTTCTTGTACCTACGTGTCGACCGTGTCTTAACCGTCTTCGTTTCTCAATTTTTCATCACCTTCAAACAAATCGTACATAATTACAAAAACGGATGTAATCCGTTCATGTTTTATCATTGTTCGATAGGGGAGGGATGTAAAAATGGTCTCGTATTATCGTTTACCTATAATTAGGTTACCATTGTCTCTAAGAAACGTGGCATATCTTTTAATTTTAACCTACATAAGTGCAATATATCCTACCAAGCTATTGTCATTTATTTCTCCTCTTTTACATTATACGTATGTATACGTAAATACGTAATACGTATGTGTATCACGTACGCGTCGCGTATAATCGGCTGACAACGAGTGAAAGGAACACGTAGAATGTTTACGTAGAGACAGCAATATCGTTTTATATTTGAAAACGAAGGAGTCGGTCGAAATGAAATTGACGGCAGCATGATTGGATAAATTGATCTTGTGTAAGATCTACTACCAAATCGTGTGTTAGTTTTATATTATCTATAACAAGGTTTTTACACAGAAACGCGCTTATAATTTTATCGTCTGTGTGTTGATTTCGTCGTACTTAAATAAGTACGTCGCGTCTGAACTTCTCGAAATGTTCGATCATTTTTTAGTTTTAAGTTCTCTTACATACATATATGTTATCCGCAAAAGGGTAGAAAAATGTTTGGTACAAAATGTGTCACGGACAAATTGTACGTACGTTGTTCGGTATAGGAAGCGTTATGTGGTGTGTATGCAGGTAGAAGTAGGTACATAAAGTAGTACGGTATCTTCGAAGACTCTTCTAATTTGTATAAAATAACGGGAATTATTTGACAGGTGAAACGTTAAATTAGCTTTATGCTATTTTCCTAAGTACTAAATATCTGGGCATGTATCAACGATGGCCTGTAACAAGGTCTGTAACAAAGTTTTCGGTTATTCGTCGGAAGATAAAGTATGCGTGACGAAGAAGAGGAAGGGGGCTTGCGAGTGACGATCAAATCTAGATGTCGGACGACGAGTAGAATTGGTATAACGATATGTAGAATACGTAAATTATAGCGGACAATCATTTCCGCGGCGTACACACAGTCATGTAAATAGTGGAATTAGAAAAAAAAAAAAAAACGAGGCTTTTAATTTATGAATGAGAAGCGTCTGTATAGCGTGGGCAAAAATAATAAGGAAGAGGAGATCCGCACGCATGCACGCACGGGGTTTGTGCAACGCTAATAGCGCAAACAATGTGTAGAACGTTATGGAATTTGTGTGACCTATAAATATGTGCCTTAAAATCTTCGAATTTATGCTCGTTATATTTTTTGAAAATTCTTACAAAAAAAATTTTACTTTCTGATCGTTCGAATTGCCGCGCCGAGTGACGGTGAGAAACGGTGACGTGTTACCGTCGTTTCAATCTCTCCTTACGTTATCCGAACGTTTTGGAAAATCGAAAGCAAAAGGTTTTTCCGCCTCACGCGGTGAACATTTTCGACGCGATTAACCAAATCTCTATATTCTCCAGCTATTAGACTAAAGTTTAAATAATAGATGCTTATTCGTTCTATAATGATCCCTCCCATCGCTGTAGATTATGTACACCGTTAAAATGAAAATGATCAATTGTTAAGCGTATAGAAAACATTGATGTACGCTAAGCTTTATCTCGGATAGATTTTGAACGCATCGTTATCTTCAATATATTTACTATATATAATATATAGATGCATATACATACACGTATATGCATACGTACATACAACGAACTCAAGTACGTACGTATTTATGTATGTATGTGTGCGCGTGTGTGTATGTATGTATGCATGCGTATACGTATGTGTATGCGCGTGGGTGTATGGATGAATGTAATTTACACGCCAGGTTAAAACTGAACTTGTGAAGGGTGTAGTACGTTAACATTGTCTATTGATCTTTTATCAAAGATTAGAGTTTATTTTATTATCGAGAACAATTTTACTGTTTGTAAAAGATATACGTTATTATTACTCTTAATCGCCCTGTATACAATAATTACTATATAAGTGTAAAATAAGATGTGTTCGTACATTGACGTAACGAATAAAATAGCTTTTAATTCGACCTCCAAATTTTTTCGTGTCGTTTAGAATTGCAGAGATATCGCGTGGAGGAGTTGAATTGAATAAACACGTTGTATTTCGGTAGGCGAAGAAAGGGAGGGGGTTCATTGGTTGCAACTATTTTCATCGTTCGCAATCGCCTCTGATTGTATCGCGGGACACGATGGATCTTTGCAATTTTCCGGCCCGCAGATTTCTTCGTAATGTCCAGGTGCGGGATAACTAACGTGATAGATAGTATCGGCGCACATAGGATTGGTAGGTGGTTGATATTTTCCTTTAACCGCCCATGGTACAGTTTCCTTCGGAGTAAGAGTCCAGGGCTGATAGGACAGCTTGTTTACGGTGTCGCATTCAATTTTTTCTGGTAATCTAAATAAAAAAAAAAAAGGTAAGAAAGGACAAATATTTTTCAATATATGTATACACAATACCGTCAACATCATTCGCCTACTTTTTATACTGAACAACAGGTTTGAAACTTTGAACCGATTCTACCAGGTCAGGTTTCACATAAGACATTTTCGTCGTAGTTCTATCGTCGATCGCTGTTTCCGCGTTTCGAATATTATTGCACGGAATAATGAGTTCGGGTCGCAGTGTTACTTTCTTCACGAAATCGCAACGACTAGTTGTCTTGGTTTGCATGGGGCCATCTCCCAACATATTTCTATGTCGAGGTAATATTGGTGCGCGTTTTTCACTTTGAACGGGTTGGTAGCTCAACTACAACGAGAGAGTAAGGAAGGAAATTAAGGCGGTGAGAAGTTAAGGCAAAAAGATGCGTTCGTACTTTGCTCGTCGTGTCCGCCGATACTTTCCCACCAGGCTTCGAGATACTGTTGCAAGGAAGAATTGGTTCCACACGCTTAACCTTACCCGCCAATTCCAAGTAACTTTCTTTGTAAATAGTCTTTCCGTGAAATTCACCACCGTGGGGAAGTACATCGGCTATCGTCGGTCGAACAGGTTCTTCCATACGTGGTTCTTCGTTTTGCAAGTAACTTTCAGAATACGTTGTCTTTCCGCACATTGCAACGTCAGGAGGTCTTTAAACGTTGTCGGTGAGAAAAAAGGAAAAAGAAAACAGAGAAAAAAAATGTCGATGGAAAATAAGCAATTGTACAAATGTATAAATGTAGTTAGTTTATATGTACTTGTATGTTGGTTTTTGCTGCCAGGGACACGTATCTTTTGCCTCGATGCAGACTGGTTGATAGCTTAATTTGTGCGTAGTGTCGTCGAATATCGGTTCACTAGGTGGACAGTAGGCTGTGATCGGCTTAAAATTAATCGTCGGTTCCGTAGGGCCTGGGTCGACGTAAGAAAGTTTCGCGGTGGTGCTAGCGTCCAATTGCCCGCTACTTACACGAATGTTCCCACAGGGCATTATCATCTCTGGTTTCTCGACGTATTTGCGTTGATAATCGTGGCGAATGGTTGTAACGTTGTCCATTCGACCAGATCCTATCATCGACCTAACGTGTATCCGAGAAAAGAGAGAAAAATGACAGGATTTGATTAAATTTCACTCGATCCTCCATCACGATGTGGTTCAAGTTCCACTTTGATCCTTTACCTTTGTCTGGGTATGATAGGTTTCGTTCTAGAAATATTCTCGTTAAGTTTATAACTCAATTTATTGGTAGTCTCGGCTGAAAACGGGACATCGGATTTGGCGAGAGCAGCTGCGGGTCGAATGGGTTGGGATCGACTCTGCCGCATTTCTGCACGATCCACGTTCAAATACGACAGATGATACGTAGTTTTAGCTTCGAGCATCTTCGAAGGTGGATTATACGTTCTTACAGGAGCGAACGACTTTACTCGCGTTGGTTGTACGTATCTCCTTGTGCACTGCATGCGTGATCGTATTAATGCAACGTTAAAACAACGATGGTGTAACACTATTGAAAAATTGAAATGGTAAAATTGGCGGACTCGTTACTTGAACGTTACACGGGCATTCTAATGATTTACGACACGGTAATCGTGGTTGCATCTTCTTTCTATTAATCTCCACTACTTCCATGTTGCTAGTTGGTGCTTATTAATTGTATAAGTATCTCTTTTCCTTTTTAAGTAAAAACGACGACACGTCGTTGATAAATCTCAAGTCTCAAAATATTCCGACGGAACATAGAAAATAGAATGATATAAAAGGATAAGATTGTAGTTAGAAATGTCAATGTCTCTCGAAATCACATTTTGCATTTTGCGATTTCGATCAGAGGTGAAATTTATCGAGCCATAATACTTGGAAGTTAGTGTTAAATCGATTGAAACGATTAAATCGATCGTATATTCGAATAGTTGCGAAGATTGCGCGTATTAAAAAAGAAAAAGAAAAAAATGTCGATAGATTTTATATATATCAAGAAGTGACATATTGAGATAAGAACTGTAATAGAAGTTTCTATCTTAGCTGCTAATAGAAAATTTATTTCCTCATACGCATCGGTTAAAAATATAATATGATTACGTAGAATGTTTATTTTAAACAATACGAATATGCCTTTCATGCTATTTTAGATCACAGTTAATTTTTAAGGTCCGACAGGTGTTTCCTTTCGACAGCGTCTAGCGAAAATGTACGTAAATCGACGTGTATTCATACTCATTCGTATGAATCCACACGAGATATTTAATACATGGAAGACATAGAAAACATACAATGCGATTACGTGTGATTGTTCGCGTTTCGTTAAAGGGATGTTCTTTCCGTATACGTAGTCGTAAAACACTGTCTACCCTATATACTCATTTATCATTTTCTTCACTTTCCTCACACGAAGCATATCGATAAATATTGTTTTAACATTACATATATTTACTGTATACAATATAATCATACTATGGTTCGAATTAGTATATTCGAATTAAAAAGAAAATAGTATATAGATATAAGATAAATTAAATGTAATTATCGATAAATCTACAGACCGTGTATGTGTAGATTAAAAACTATTATTGAAAAAGAGGTAGTAATGCGTAATAAAATTAAGAGAGACAGAACAAATAATAATATTACGATATTATGTGATGCACCGAGCAGTTCTTTTCGATCGATAAACTTATACAGGGCTATTGCCATTTTCTCCAAGATAATCAACAAGGATTTGTTTAACACCAAGAGAAGAAAGGACTTTTATTCTGGAAGCGCTGTGTAAACGTATCGGAGAATGAGAATAGCCTTGGTGCTCCGTTTCCTTTGGCCCTGCAAAATAGTGGTGGGTAAAATCGCATTTCACATCGTCGTTGACCGTATCTGTTGTAATTTGTAAAAAAATACGTATGTACGAATAAATTACTTTTCAACGATCACGGCAGGCATTTGAACCAATTGCACAGGACTTTTGGCATCCTTTAAAGCTTGTTGCAAATTTAATATCTGACCGCGCATCACGCTCATTTGTTTATCAAAATGGTGTCGGTCGAAACCTTTGTCTTGCTACAAAAATAAATGCTTCTTATTTTCGAATTCTAATTAGAAAAACGACCGCTGCCGATGTCGGTATGTCGATGTAAAGTAATCATCATTTTACGTCACTTACTTTAAACAACTGATATAAATCGTCACAAAGATCTTGTACAAAATTTTGATCCGAGAGTTGTGGTAATACAAGCTCTCGCGTTACATCGCTAAACGGTTGCTTCGCTTGACTTAACCATGCCCAGTGATAAGGATAGGCACGCCAGGAATCAGGATGTTTAAAAGGAAAGGCCAAACCATTGTCTATAGCGGCTATTTTCACTTCAACCTGTTCCGATCCGTTTTTTCCCATACTGTTATCATACTTGATTAACCAATTATCGTTCCCTTTAAAAAGATATCATCGATAGATACATACGTTTCTAGATTAACAAAGATTAACAAAGAATCTTATAACACTGTTAAATACCTCTGTCAGTATTCCTAATTATATAATCCAAAATAACTAAACGTTCGAATTGAAGTTGAAATTCTCTACAAAGTCGGGGTAACAAAGGTTCACTCTCCCATCGTCTTAACCAATAATCGGCATCCTTGTAACCGTCTACATAAACTTGGAAAGAGCCAACTTTCGGCGGTAAACCGATACGATTGAAATGGGAGCCCACTGTTGGAAACTGATCCATAATCGCTTGCTTCATACGGACTTTCTGACGGTCTAAGCGTGGGTAGTTAAACGTTTTACTGACAAGTTTCACTACTCTAGTATTTGGAACTATGCCCAGACCTAATTTACGGTCAACTAAACTTGCTCCCGCCTCGCTGAGATATCCTTGATTTGGTATTAAACAACTCCTCCCGAAACAACATGGACAACAGAGCTTGTGCATCCATTTTGTCCATTTTGGATTTAATCTTCCATAAGGTTCCTCATCTTTTGGCTTAAAAACACCTATTACTTTCTACAATTAAAAATGCTCTGTCGTTACTATATTATTATTTCAAGGAATATCACAGCTATTAGATGTTGACAACAAGAAAGCTATACCTTACCCCTGCAGGATTTTTTACAAAATAACTGCCACTAGATCCTTGATATATTCTTTCTGGGAAGATTCCATTATCTATTGCCAATTCAGCCTGCCACACTAATTCAGAGAATTGTGGATCATCTAAAAGAATATATTATGATGCACAATTCATACATCTAAAGATATTGAGAATAATATTCAAGCTCGAGTCTACTTATGGGTTAGATAATAACAAACCAGGAAAACGATTGAAGGTGACATCAAGTTCCAGTCGACCAAGGAGAGGCTGGCTCTCCCGGTCAATTCCAGGGGAATCAATGGCTATAGTTTGCTCGTTGCTCAGGTTGGGAACAAATTCAACGTCTGGTATTAGCTCTGAACACTCGTTATTTACTGGTAAACAATTATTAGATGTTATTGAGAGATCTACCAGTGCATCAGTTTCCACCAAGGCAGAAGTATTGGTACTATTCTGGCTGTGATACTCTCGATAAGGCACGTGTAATTGCCGCTGTTCGGAGTCGCTCATTACAACCGAATCTGCTAATTATTCGGCAGATTCCTTTTCCACCCGATCACTTGAAAAATCGTTTACACAACTAATCCTATCTATTTCCCCATATTCCTATCCCACCTGTCAATGACGCACACGGTCGAATTCGTATATACCAAGTATTTTCACCATTACAAACTTCGAACAAATCATTGCGTCATTAAAAAAAACAACTCTAAATTATTATAAATTTATTAATTTATCAGAAAATCCATAGAATAAAAGAATCTGTTTATGATGTTTGGGAGCACTGTGTAACCATTTAATAACTACGATTCGTCATTCCAGCAGACGATATCAGCTGATAGGATTAACGCCATACTTAAATTTTCCGATACTGTTGTTTCATGTGTTTATTTACGTGTATATGCAATTATATTCTATCGTTTATGCAAAAAATGCTGATTCAACTATATGATGTATGTACAATTACTTTATATACTACTAGCATCGTCATAAATTTCTTCGTAAGAAGTGTGTCAATAGAGTGATATAAACATATCTTATAGTCCTTTAAGTCAGATATAGTGAATAATCATAAAGTCACTACGAAATCTTGAATAAATGTCAAATATTTCATTTTACATTAATACTTTATTTATGTGGACATCGATATGTCTTATAAAGTTTTTTTTTTTTAACATTTCCACCGTTAAAAATATAATATATTACGAATCTCGTAACAATGCAACACTTCCCAAAATACGTGACGTTATATATATAATATATGTATATTTAAAAAAATGCAATTTTATTCCTTGCTTACAATAGAAAAGAGTGTAATATTGTGATAACACGGTACGTAAAATTTGTAGCAAAGATTGTGCGTAAAAATAAATCAACCAATCAGAATAAAGAACGTTCTACTCGAATATCCAATAAGAAAGAAAATACATATTAAGAAAGATAACGTTATGATAATCACGTGTAACATATATATCGCAGTTGTGCGTGATATCCGTAGCCGCGTACATCGGCCGTTTCTCCATTAGCTACGGACTGCCTTGAACCTCATTCAATTATTAACTTATTCTCAATAATCAAGGTCGTGATGTACCTATCGTGCGATTATTCAAGTCTTTCGTATTATTTAATAATTCGAACATACATTTCGCCGAATTTCTTACCGTTGTTGCTCTTCAAGTATTGGCATGATCTATCGATTTATAATTCTCATCAATCAACATAGCAATAAATTTAATTAACTTATTTATTAAATATATTTAAAAATTTATCTTTACAATTAATGCATCCTGTAAAGAGCAACATGTTTCTTGTTTGTGTAACTGTGGGTCTGGTACTCTTGGCTTCCAAGTACCGCAAGAATGTCTTTCAAAGTGTTAAACATCTTTGTCAAAGTATAAAAAGTAAAAGTTATAAGCAGACTGATAATAAAATGGGTCTTAAAATTGCATTAGATAAAATTATTTTGGCTGATACTCCAGAAAAATGTGATTACGCCATTCAGCGTATTCGCTGGTAAGTTATAAAATTATTTCCATTTCAATATTACATTGTATGTTCTAAGTGTTACATATGACAAGTACACATTGCTGCTATATTTACATTTTTTTGCATTGTGTATGTACCTATAAATTCCTAGGACATTAGTTTTACTTCTGTCTTTCTCTCTGTGCGTGTGTATATGTGTGTTTTCATTAGTTATATTATCACTGGAACAAAATTTTTTCTACTTTATAAAGTCAGTTTAAGAATAATTAGTTTAATAATTAAGAATAATAATGAATTTCAAATGAATATGTTTCATGTAAAAGCAACTTGTCCAATGACATATTGGGTTTTGATTGTGAATGGGCTAATGAAGGACCTGTTTCTTTACTTCAACTTGCTACATTTAATGGAGTGTGTGGTCTTTTTCGGATTGGTAAAATTGGATATATTCCTCAAAAATTGAAAGTACATAACATTTAATAAATACATATACATAAATTAAGACCAACATGCAAGTAAAGTTTATGTTGAACTAACAAAAAATTTTTTTTTTAGGAATTGCTAGCTAGTAAACGCATTCTCAAAGTTGGAGTTGCTTCATATGAAGATGGTCAAAAAATAATAGCAGATTATGGATGTAGAGTTTGTGGTACACTCGATTTAAGGACATTAGCAGAGCGTGTGAATTTACCAAGTCCAAAAAGTTTAGCTGCAATGAGTTTGCAATATTTAGGTTTGGAAATGGATAAATTGATAGAAGTAAGGTGTAGCAATTGGAATGCTGGCACCCTTACTGACGAGCAAGTAGCATATGCTGCTTGTGACGCAATTGCATCTGTTCTTATCTATGACCAGGTAAAAGAAGAAAATCTGTATTGTTATTAAACTAATTTCACAGAAAATGTATATATGTATGATAACAAATTACTTTATGTTTTACAGATTGTGCAGAGGATAAAAGAGAAGTATTCTTTATGGGAAAATTTTGTAAATTATATAAAAGGTGTGTGTAATAAAAATGTGAACATGCAATTTTATTGTTTACCTACTGGTGTAATTGATACGAGGTAATAAAATATTTTGTATATATTTAAAGAACATCTTATTTATTGGTTGTTGTGTTAATATGTGAAAATTATTTCTACCTTTTACATTTCAGGTTCAAGGCTCAACATGTACAAACAAGTGTTAATCAGAAAAACATCAAAAACAGTAATTTTTATAAGATTGCCGGTGATTTAAAAATAAATAACGTTACGCGTAAAATTAATATACCTACAAGAAATAAACCATTGTATCATAATTGCTATTTGCAAGCACCAGATGGAGAAATATTATGTACATGTGATCGTAAGAAGGCAGAATGGTATGTTGGTAAAGGTTTAGGAGATGTAATTAAAAAGGAACCATTTACAGTAAAGTTAAAGTTTGAACCTTCTGGTCGTGCTTTGGGAGAAGTTGGACAGTACTATACACAAATTAAAGTAAACCAGTGTGTAGTTTGTGGAACTTCAGATAAGTTCATTAGAAAAAATGTTGTACCTCGAGAATACCGGAAATATTTTCCATGTAAGTTGTACATTTAAAATATAATTTAGCATATAACAGAAGAGTGCATCTAAAAAAATGTAAATATTTTCTAGTGGTGATGAAAGCCCATCAATCACATGATATATTATTATTATGTCCATCCTGTCATGAAATAAGTAATTACCATGATCTGCAGCTCAGAAGAAAGCTGGCAGATATGTGTGATGCACCTTTAGCTGGACCATTAACTCATATACGTAATAAACGTGCAACTAATTGGAAGAAATTGCACTCAGCTGTTAAAGCTCTAAGAGAAAGAACAACTTTACCCGATGCACGACGCAAAGAGTTGGAACATTATATCTTAGAATGTACAAATAAACAACAAGTTACACCAATTCTCCTTGATGTATTAAACAAAGAATTAAAAAATGCTATGATTTCGACTTCACTTAACAATGATCAGTCTAAATGTCAATCTCATGGTCTACAGGTATCATTAACAAATGATAAATATTAAGTATTTTATATGCTCTTTTAAATACATTAGCTAATCTTGTTTTTCAGGTGGTTCAGTTTTTTCAAAAAAGGGAAGGGGGATTAGTAGAACTGGAGCGTATGTGGAGAGAGCATTTTCTTTTGACTATGAAGCCAAAATACCTACCAAGTCTATGGTCTGTTCGTCATAATCAAGAAAGATTAACTATTCGTCAATCACAAAACAGAATTGAGCCAGAAGATGCAAAGGTAGCTGGTTTGGCATATTGAATTTTAAATATCATGTACCTGAAAGGACTCGTATAAGAGCGAGTACTTGTATTAAAAGACTGTCACGTAAATCTATATGTCCCTTATATGCATATATTTATATACACATGTGTAAACATTACTTATATATGTACATATATACACAACAAGATCTAATAAGATTTTTCATTTTTCTACCTGTTTTGTTCACTTATGGGATTAATATTAAGCACTTCAACTTATAAAAGACAAAAACTTATAACATACGCACTTTAAACAAAGTTCTCTCTTATTTCGATATTTTAACCTGTAATAAAATGTAGTTGTGCCAACTTTTTTATTGAATATTTCACACTATTTATTTATAATTAAAATGTTATTGGATGCATATATACAGACTTCAAAGGTATAATAATTAAATTTATACTATACAAGTATACGAATGTATCATGGTTGTTTCGAACTTTCTTGTTGTGCAAAGTTTGTCTTTGGAGGAGGAACTTTGGTATTTTTCAGTTCTTCGTCGATACGTTCCTTAGCACGTACAATTTTTGATTGAATATAAAAGGAACCACCTTTCGATCTGTCGTTGACTTCCATAAGGTATTTATAATTACGTTCGATAGTTTCCACTTGGTCAACTCGGTCAACGTTTAAAATCTGTAGAGCTTCCTCTAAAGAAATGCCGGTCTTATAGTTAGCTGCAACATGTTGAGCTCCTCGTCTGCCAGAGCCTGCTTTATTTGCAGCAGCTTGACTCGCAGCAATTTCTTGTCGTAATGCTCGTGTGAACGCTTTGACCACGACTTGCGTGCCCATAACAATTATTTGTACCAAGTGTTTCGCCATAACCTCTTCCCTCCGTTCAAAAGTAGTTGTCAAAATAGTTCTCGACACACTTTTCGTTTACAGTTTCGCTTTTAAATGGCACTTCCTCTACATAAAATTTGTTTACTACAATATTCAAATACTGACACTATTGTTTTTAAATTTTATAGAGAATTCTTTAGATAACGCGCTTCTTACACGTTTTACACTCGTGTTGCACCATTTCAAAATGGGCCTCGTATATACTTTCCTAAGCACGTTTTTCTTTAGCAATCGTCTATATACTGAGTTTTCGATGTAAAAATAATACTTGTAATATAACATAACGGAAGTATCTATTGTTGAAGGTGAATTACAACTTCAAAGATTATATAAAAACAGACCTTTATTTATTCATAACCTGATAAAAGTAATTACTTAGTAAGTGAAAAATTGATCTCTACAAGATTACAAGCTTTCATTTATAAAAGTATAACAATTATAAATCTTCAATCTTAATTGATAGTTTATTTGTGTAATTTTTTGCATTTAAAAAATGTATTAGGTTAGAATTGAAGAAATGTGCATTATGCTGATAAAATACTGATTAATCCTACGATTAAAATATAGTTTATTTGGTAATTCATAATAATAATGAATTTTATTATTAAATAATCTTATATTTACACTTCGTTGGTCAATTTTAATATAAAATGAAGTAGGACTTGTGTTTGAACTTTTTGCTAAAGTGGAATAGAAACACGTTTTATTCTATCAATACTCTTTAAACATTAAATATATGTTCAGTCAGGTATTGGCAAACTATAAAAGTAATCCTTTGCCTTACAAAGAGAATCACACGCAATATTAAATATAGTATCAATTACTTCCAGTCTATTGGAGTCTTTATAACCATCACATTCAATTACCAACATCTTTGGAGAATTTTGTGCAACTGATAATCCACAAAGTGCATGGCATGTATGATATATGTCTCGAAATCTGAAATAAATGCAGCAATAAAATTGTTTTTACCGCAACATCAATAGTGTTTCATACTTTTTGGGTTTATCCAGAAGACCGCCGTAATTATCTTGGCAGCAAAATAATAAATATTCTTGTAAGGCCGTTTGATCAAACAACCAATATTCGCTATTATATTCTTCATCAAAGTGTTTTAAAATTCCGTGAACCAATGGGAAAATTCCACCTAACCAAATTGAATAACAAGCATCTACTAATTTGTTTGTCCTCCCTTGGAATCCACCCTCTAGACGCATTTGTTTATTTACTATCCACCTCTGAAAGTAAATAGATATGAAAATATAGTAATGGATGTTTGAATGTATATTATAAGTTATACAATATGAGTTGTACCAGCAATGACTTCATACAACAGCGGTGAATTCCTCCAAGAATCACAAGCGCTGATAAACCACAATATGTATGCCCTCCATGAGCTTCCATGCCAGGAGTACCTCCAAAACCACCTTCCCATGTTTGACATTGAGCTATCCAATTTTCGGTTTCTTTGAACATTTCTGGAGTCCATACATTTGTTAATTTGGATATTGCAGCAGCACAATATACTCCCCGCATGTCTACTTCTCCATCTGTGTGTAGACGAAAAGAACCATCCTCCTCACGTAAAGATAGAAAAAACCGTTTAAGTCCCTTCCTAAAATGAATACACATAGATTGAATTTGTAAAGAATAAGGTTTGAAAAATTCACTTTGAATAATTATGTTTATTTCCCTTATGTATCTACCTGTCGATTACTTGGTAAGCTTGAGGGGTACCAATGATACATAATGCATTTACTGCTGCATACGTAGATGCTAAATGAGGATATTGCCCAGGACCTCCACCGAATCCTCCTTCCGGTGATTGACATTTAGCCAAAAAGCCAGCAATTTTTGAATATTCACTGTCACTTAAACGTTTTCCTAAGATTTGAAGAGAATGTATAATCCAATAACACAACCATGGCCTGCTACAGTCCAAGCACTGGAAAGTAAAGAAAATAATATAAAAGCTTTGTGCAAAATATAAGTATAACAGAAGGAGGAACTATTAATAAAGAGAAATTAAACATTTTTACTTCGTGATCTTCGTTAAGATTAGTCAAGCAGCTTTCTAAAAATAGCATATGTAGATGTTTTCTTAAAATGGGCTGCCCTAATCTATATGCTTCAAGTACATTACGTTCTACAGAATCCTATAAAGAGAATGTTAAGAAATATTAGCGTGAAATAAAAAAGAACGAAAGAGACTTTTGAAAGATAATGGAATTTATAGATGTAAAAAGTATACCTGTTCCCGTGAACTTTCAGTTTCATAGTCTTCAACATCCTGTTTTTGTTCTAATATTTCGTCGAAAGTTCTAATCCGTGATTCTATTGAATTCGACATAGTCTATTGAACACGTGGATATATATTATATTAACAATTGAAAGAAAGAAATTATGTGGTAAAATGTAAATACGCATAAAAAAGACGGGAATTATACTACGTAATGTTTGAAAGAATAATGACAAAAAATAACGTTTCTTTTGTCATTTCTCTACGCAATAAAATTCGGCTTCATAATGAAATTTTGTACTTGAAATAAAATTTTCTAGAGTTAGATAGTATTATAATAACTATGTATTATTTTCGCGTTGAACATAGAATATTTAGTGGAAGGTTAGAAGGATGTTAAAATTACTCTAATACTAACTAGTTAGAACTTGCACTGGATTCGGAAATGATTAAAATGCGAGAAGAAAACTTTAGTTACAGTAGTTGTCGCATTATAGTCTTTCGTTTGGTTTTCGGTTAAGTTAACCTAAGTTCAACATTTGTTTTATCCGTAACTTTTTTAGAGATTTCGCTAGGAACTTTCGATTGATTCTACGAAACGAAATCAGGCGTGTTTAATAACCATAACGTATGTTTCGGTAATAAGAAATGTAATACAGGTCTAATCGCGGCGATGTAATTATAAGGATTAAAACATGACTGCTTATATTGTATCGTTTCCGAAAATATTCGTAATTTTTTTCAATTCCTACCGATTCTCATTTTGCGAAAAATCATTTGAAACGTGTGGTGTACGTCGAATTACAGGGTGTGGTATCGTCAGTGCTTGTCGGAGCTTTTACACGTAACGGTCGCTATACTTGATTTTTTCGGATAAAAACAGACGTTTGAAGAATATTTTTGTCACGACATATCGTTAATCTAAGTAATTATAGTGTGTGATTATACAAATATTGCTCGTTTCGATAGGAATACAATAAATATTGTGAGTTAATAAGAATGTACATTACGACAAATAAGTATTTTGTGCCAAAACATTTTGTTGTTCGCACATTTTACGGTAAAAAGACATGTTTCTGTTGGAACGAAGATAAACTTAGTATATTTGCATACAGTAGAAGCAACGATTCCGTGCCTGTGAAAGTTTTGACAGCCCCGGCTCCAATAAAAACAATACAGAGTTTTAACGATCGAATTTTTTTAATTTGCACTCCTCAAGGCGTCTACAAACTTTCGAGGAACCTAGAATTTGCTGTTCTAAGTAAACATGCTATTGGAATGGGAACTGTTTTTTACGAAGTATTGACCCCAAGGAAGAAACATGTTTATTTGGATAATAAACAAAAGATGACAAATAAAATGCTGTTTGAAATTTCTTCTAAAGAAGAGGACGAAAATAAATTATGTATATATCCGTTAAACGTAGAAAATGTGGAGGAATGTTTCAGGAAGGCCTTAGTAAATAACGATTCTACCATAGAAAATTTGTGCATAATTGGGGATGGACAAAAACTTTTGACATTAATAAACGAGACTGTACAAATAATATACAACAGTATCTATTCTATCAAAGATATAATACCTGTAGGAAAAGATTCAAAGATCGCTGGATTACTTCTTCTCACTAATATAGATGTTATTATCGTAATGCATGCAAGAGACAATATGGTTGTCTTTGAAAAAACATGCTTGGTAACACAGTTACAGGCTGTTTGCGCCGGTTTCAGTCAATTGTCAGAACATTCATTATGGATGGTTTATTCAGACAAATCTAAACTATATTATGCAAAAATACATTTATCAACCAATAAAGTTGAACGAATAGAAGTTGAAGACAAAAGCTTTGTTTGTTTGCAATATTACGATTCCAAGATAATCTTAGGTTTAACAGAGAAGAAACAGTTAGTAGAATTTTCTACAGACACAGTGGAAAGGACATTATCGGTGAAAAACGATACTTTTACTAATCTTCATTTCAACATGTTAAAATGTGCGACATTCATAATGGATAAGATTTACAAGGGAAGTGAAGAATTACATTTCTTCAACGAGACATTGATAACCGAAGAAAATAAATTAAAAAGAATAAATTTATACGCTCATAAACATAAAGTACGGTTATGTCCAAAAATAGTGATAAATAGGATAGCCAATCGATTGTTCTTGTCAGCAAGTTTCCACGATGTTCTACCAAAAAACTGTTGGGTCGTTCTTAACGTAAAATCGGAACATCGAAGTATGTTTTGTACGAAAGAAATTGTAGATCAGGAGACGATAGTCGATATCTATATACCGGAAAATTTAACGGCGAATTTCTCGGAAATCGCGATAGATTTGATAGTTGTGAAAGATGAAGGACAACCTTGGTGTCTTATAAGAAATTACGTAATCAATCCCCTTTTCGAGAAAGGTAAAAAGACTAGAAAAAGATCGGAGAAGTTTAACTTTATAAATTCGAAAATTGCTATGCTCGAAAGTTTGATAGAAAAAGGAAACGTCGATATGAAAAAATTGTCGGAAATTAAAAAAAATGTGAGAAAAGAAGTTAGCGTCGATGTGTAGAACACAACGAGTCGAAATATGACGAACATCCTCGTTGCAAGGAAACTGCGTTTGCAAATAATGTATATAGGAGGAATAAGTACAGTCAAGTTTTATTAGAAATAAATTTTATTTTTTTTTTAGTACGATTTAGTTATTTATAAAACTTTCGTGATACAGCTTACATTTCCGTCCTATTTAACTGGGTGAACGTTCGTTGAACGTTGAAAGTAACTGAAATAAATTTCTTCGACGTGATCTATAATACGTCTATTTTCTCGTAATTTCATAATTTTTCCGAATTGGGTACCTCAACGATGCTGCCTACTATATTACTCAAGGAGTTTCTCTTCAAATGATTGGATGGATTTGTTAAGCTACCGGGAGGAGTTTTAATCGTCTCTAACCGAGCTTGAAATGCTTGGAACGATTTCAAGCTCTTCTTGGAACCTGCGTGCTCTACGCTTCTGGAATTAGTGTCGAATCTTGGCCGTTTCCACAGTTTAGCGAAATAAACTCGAATGTTTTCCGAGAGCACGCCGTAAAGAAGAGGATTAACTATGGTGTTGAATTGCGCGAGGATCAGAGTCCAAACGAAGTGATGCGATCTCAAGAAGAAATTCGTATCCTCGGTAGGTCTTTTACCGTCCACGTAAATCAATAGCACGACGATAGTAATTGGAAGCCACATTACCAATACGGCTATCACGTTCAACAGTAATATTCGTACAACTCGAAGATGTTTGTACAATCGCGTTTCTTCGTGCTGAGAGAGGCTACCGGCACGAGCTTTTCCACCTGTAACCGATGCGCTAGACAGTTTTCTTCCAGCCCAAGGTAGTAACGTACCGACAACCGACAGTTCCGAATCTCTTCTACCTGTTGCACCATTCTTGCGACCACTCTCCAACCCCTGTACGATCGTAAATAAAACACGGTGAAGAAGTTGCTAAATAGAAGAAAGTTGGTAGAAGAAAAGAATTACTTGTGCCACACAGGAGACAGCCCACGTGTTTCGTGTGTCGAGAATTTTTTGGAAGATTCGTTGATAGTGATAGACGAGAAGAGCCATAGGTAGAAGGCAAGCTAGGAGGATGATCGGTATCGTGTAGCACAACGAAATGTTTACAATTTCGTTTCGTGGGAATATTAAAGTACAGATGATGGTCGACTCGTTCCTAACGTCCTGTATCGAAGTGCAATATTATTAGAATTGTCGTTAGAGAGAAAACACGATCGAGTTACTTTTGCCTACCTGCTTCTGCCTGAACCAAAATACAATAGGTAAAAAAACGAAAGCTGCGATGATCCAAATGACGAAACTGCTCGCTAAAACCTTGGTCATCGTTAAGGCACTTCTGTAAGGAGCTATTGCCAAACATCGATGCCTGTCCATCGATATAAACGTCAACGTCCATAGAAGTACGAAGCCACAGACGAACTACGAACAACAATTAACAAATATTAACCAACTTGTCGATCTGTTTTCATATTTTTTTAAATAAAACTTGCACCGTACCGAAAAGTCGGAAACATAGGTGTACATATTAAGATAATACAAGGACATTTGCTACATTTTATTTTTATAGCCGCAAAGAAAAATTGATCGGACAACAGCATAGTTTATTTATAAGTCTGTCGGGGGAATGAAAACAACAAGTTGTTACATTATCGTGCACGATCGATCGAAGTTGGAGCGAAGAAGATGTAAGATACCTGGGTGTAGGGTAGTAATCTGCAAATGGTCTCCCCAAGGCGCCAGGACTGCGTGTATCTAGTGTAAGCGACGGCTGGCACGCCGAGGGTAAATAAAAGATCTGCAGCGGCCAAGTTCACCAGGCACATGTTCGTCGGTGTTCTCAATTCCTTGTATCTGAGTATGCAGCTAGCCAGTACCAAGTTGCCAGCAACAGCTAGAACGAAGCTGACACCCAGTACCACCACCTGTAGTGTGGTGTTGTTCTAAAAATTTTCTTCTCGATAATCCTCAAAACCATTCCTCGACGAATGAACAGACATTTATCAGCTCGAGTTCATCCTTCGAAACGGTCTAGCAAGCGTATTCGAGGAAAGCAAAAATAGTACGTGCTTGTTTCGCGTTCTCTTCCGCTCTAATGAGCTCTTCCATTTCGAGCGCCTCTCTCACCGCTAATTAACACCTCCGTTCTTTTGCACCGCTATTTTGCGATCCTTCCTATTTTCCACGTCGCGTCGATACAACTTACCTCGACCATCCTGCTGATCTCCTTTCGATCCTCCAATTCGCTGTAATACGTGAAATAGTAACGTTCCCCCCACTCGTCGTCTTCTCCCCATATATAAGAGGAATTCATGTCTTTCTCTCTTGTCTACTAGTCGTCGGTTCGACGTTCCGAATACGCGACGGTCGCTTTATGGGACACGTACGTTTCGGTTGTCCTTCGCATTTTAGTTATCCGACTGGCGATGTAGGATCCGGTTGATAGGACTTATCGGGTCTGTAACAGGCAAATCGTTTAATACAATTTAATAACTGCAAACGAGAAACAAACGAGTTGCGGTCTATTAGAGTCAGTTACGGGTAAAGTTGCGTCGTAACGTTTCACGCGTGTATTTATCTGCCTTTCCGAACTATATACATATGTAGTACATACTTCTTTTCCAGTTTCTTATTCCTCTTCTATTATCTTTTCGTTTTTACCGTTAACGTTATTTCTCTGGCCGGTGGGGATATGTCGATTGAAATTTCATAGCGGTTCTCAGCTCTGTGTATCTTTTTTTCTCTCGTAAATGATCGTTTTTTTCAGCGATCGTGTGTGTTTCGATTTATGTTCCGTTGCGTAAATCGCGATTCATTTATGCAATTAAAAAAACTACCAGACTTGCATTTCTTTTCTTTTTACGCAGTCAGATATTTCAGGAGCTGATGGAGAAACATCGATCGTAAAGAGAAAAGAAAAGATCGAAGTTGAATTTTACGTCAACGAAAGAAATAAAATAGGTGGTAAGGTGTGTGTGTGTGTGTTTCTGTCCTAATGGCCGAAGGGAGTGGCTTTGAACTTTTAAACATAGAAATTCTCGTTGCGCGTCAACCGCTGTTATTTCTCCCATTTGCGAACAATTTTTCATTCGACGTCAGAGTAGTTGCAAACTATTATATCACAGTCGATTATTTTCTATAAGATGAACAGATACGAAAAATTATTTCTTACCCCTTCTGCACTTTACTTTTATCTCTATCTATTTAATCTATAACAAATTATACGTAATAGTATAATGAAAAGAAACAAATCGTGACTTGTCTCTAAACGTTCTCTCACTATGTCGTTGGTAAAACACAAACACAAAATACGAATGTTAAATCTACGAAAAGTTTTTAAAGCTTTTTCCGAACGACTCCACGAAGAAACAGGAAAGAAACAAAGAAATTAACGGAAAAAAATAAAAATAAAACGAACGAAAGGTGAAAGAAAATAGAATGTTTAATTTTTACGATACCTATTTCACATGAATACTTTAAAGTAATCGTGATTATAAACCTAAAAGAAAGACTACACGTGCAGCTAACTAGTATAAACGCTACCCGCCAACTGTCAGAGCAGCGCCTAACCGTCATCTGTCGGTAGTTATGTCACAGATGAGGTACGAAATAGACCTATCATCCAATGCATTTTTTTGTCTTATGCCGTGGAGGCTCTAGAGCCCCCACATCATTTTCGTGTCGCTTCCAACGTTACCGATTCAGCGTGGAATAGGATTGCAACATTAGCAGCGGTTGGAATTAGAACTAAATGTAAATATGAAATTGGACACAAGGCATATTTAGGACAGGGTATTGTATAATCGTATCATATTACAGCATATTTGCATGTAGTACGCAGTTGTTTAAAATGGACAGTTTAAAATATAATAAAAATAACCGGGATAGCAGTAGTGAACAGAGACAATGTAACAAATTGCGGTAGATACTGATAGCATTACATAGAGAAATGAGTTAGACGAAGAAAGGAATAGCGGTAGACAAGGATGGCAATAGTGCCACGTGTTAGACAAGGAAAGGAATATGGATAAACAAGGACAGAAAAACAAATGATGCGGGCGAAACTAACGCCATCTCGCGCTTGCGCTTGGTGACGCGAACTACGATTTTCTCATTAATTTTGTAACTGCGCACAAACAATTTATACACTTTTATATGTATACGTGTTCGAAAGGCTATTCCTTTAGCTAGTTTCTCATATAGATTTTGATATAATTAGTTATCTCCCTTTCTATAATTAGTTATCAACAATTTTAGTACGTGATGTCGAGAACGATATCGTTTACGGTTATACACGTTTACGGTTTCTCAATAATTTCATAGCTTTTTAGTAAATTCTCATGCAAGTGACTACATTCATTTTAAAGGCATTTCCTTTGCCTACATTCTCATATAATTCTTATTATCATATTCTGTTCAGTTTAACAGTTATTTAACATTTCTCGGGTGAGTAATATATCCGTCGTATTCCATCGTAACACATTTTCGTTGATTCAATAGACATGCGTGATTAATTATCCACTTTCAGGCATGTAGAATGTAAAGAATGAACTTTTCCTTATATTCTGCAATTAATTTGATAGCCGTAAGTGATGTGGTTTATTAGATATTAGCAGTTGTTTCTAACATTTCACTATACCCGAGTACGATGAATAGAGAACTCTCTCGTAAAACGTTTAATAACACCTAAACTAAATCGAACATGTTCATAAAAATTACATGAGAATGTAGTTAAAAGATTTTCCTTTCAGATGCGTGTAGTTATTTCTATGAGAATTTAGTAGAAAGAATATCGTTCTCGACATCACGCACTAGAATTGTCAATAACTAATTATCGGCAGGTTCTAGTGTATTAAAATTGATATGAGAAAATTGCTAAATGTCCACACCTCATTCTGCAAGTCTAAAAGTTTACAAAATCATCGGAACTATCGAGTTATTAATGATTTTTCCTTGGCCGACAAGATGTCGGCCTCGCGGCCATCGATAGGTGGTGCTTAGATACCCGCGGACCAATAGGAAACGATTATCTCTCTCCTTTTCGCACACTGGTGCTATCCTTGTCTAATACCTCTGTTTATATTCTGTAATTCTAATAAGAAATGGAATTACTGTTTTCAGCTGGTATTTTCTATCCCTGTTTAATTCACAGAGCCTCTTCGTCTAATTCCTCCTTGCCTATTCTGTGTTCCTATTAAGTTAGAAGTTTCTCAGAGTGGAATTTCATGTGTAAACATGGTGTCATATTTCTCGATTCTCTGTCCTTTTCTATCTTTTCTCGTGACGACTCGATGTTATTCGAATTTATTTAAGAAGAATGAAAAAATAGAGAAATGTCTTGTACATAATCCCCGGACTTTATCGTACTAACGCAGTCAGATATTTCAGGAGCTGATGGAGAAACATCGATCGTAAAGAGAAAAGAAAAGATCGAAGTTGAATTTTACGTCAACGAAAGAAATAAAATAGGTGGTAAGGTGTGTGTGTGTGTGTTTCTGTCCTAATGGCCGAAGGGAGTGGCTTTGAACTTTTAAACATAGAAATTCTCGTTGCGCGTCAACCGCTGTTATTTCTCCCATTTGCGAACAATTTTTCATTCGACGTCAGAGTAGTTGCAAACTATTATATCACAGTCGATTATTTTCTATAAGATGAACAGATACGAAAAATTATTTCTTACCCCTTCTGCACTTTACTTTTATCTCTATCTATTTAATCTATAACAAATTATACGTAATAGTATAATGAAAAGAAACAAATCGTGACTTGTCTCTAAACGTTCTCTCACTATGTCGTTGGTAAAACACAAACACAAAATACGAATGTTAAATCTACGAAAAGTTTTTAAAGCTTTTTCCGAACGACTCCACGAAGAAACAGGAAAGAAACAAAGAAATTAACGGAAAAAAATAAAAATAAAACGAACGAAAGGTGAAAGAAAATAGAATGTTTAATTTTTACGATACCTATTTCACATGAATACTTTAAAGTAATCGTGATTATAAACCTAAAAGAAAGACTACACGTGCAGCTAACTAGTATAAACGCTACCCGCCAACTGTCAGAGCAGCGCCTAACCGTCATCTGTCGGTAGTTATGTCACAGATGAGGTACGAAATAGACCTATCATCCAATGCATTTTTTTGTCTTATGCCGTGGAGGCTCTAGAGCCCCCACATCATTTTCGTGTCGCTTCCAACGTTACCGATTCAGCGTGGAATAGGATTGCAACATTAGCAGCGGTTGGAATTAGAACTAAATGTAAATATGAAATTGGACACAAGGCATATTTAGGACAGGGTATTGTATAATCGTATCATATTACAGCATATTTGCATGTAGTACGCAGTTGTTTAAAATGGACAGTTTAAAATATAATAAAAATAACCGGGATAGCAGTAGTGAACAGAGACAATGTAACAAATTGCGGTAGATACTGATAGCATTACATAGAGAAATGAGTTAGACGAAGAAAGGAATAGCGGTAGACAAGGATGGCAATAGTGCCACGTGTTAGACAAGGAAAGGAATATGGATAAACAAGGACAGAAAAACAAATGATGCGGGCGAAACTAACGCCATCTCGCGCTTGCGCTTGGTGACGCGAACTACGATTTTCTCATTAATTTTGTAACTGCGCACAAACAATTTATACACTTTTATATGTATACGTGTTCGAAAGGCTATTCCTTTAGCTAGTTTCTCATATAGATTTTGATATAATTAGTTATCTCCCTTTCTATAATTAGTTATCAACAATTTTAGTACGTGATGTCGAGAACGATATCGTTTACGGTTATACACGTTTACGGTTTCTCAATAATTTCATAGCTTTTTAGTAAATTCTCATGCAAGTGACTACATTCATTTTAAAGGCATTTCCTTTGCCTACATTCTCATATAATTCTTATTATCATATTCTGTTCAGTTTAACAGTTATTTAACATTTCTCGGGTGAGTAATATATCCGTCGTATTCCATCGTAACACATTTTCGTTGATTCAATAGACATGCGTGATTAATTATCCACTTTCAGGCATGTAGAATGTAAAGAATGAACTTTTCCTTATATTCTGCAATTAATTTGATAGCCGTAAGTGATGTGGTTTATTAGATATTAGCAGTTGTTTCTAACATTTCACTATACCCGAGTACGATGAATAGAGAACTCTCTCGTAAAACGTTTAATAACACCTAAACTAAATCGAACATGTTCATAAAAATTACATGAGAATGTAGTTAAAAGATTTTCCTTTCAGATGCGTGTAGTTATTTCTATGAGAATTTAGTAGAAAGAATATCGTTCTCGACATCACGCACTAGAATTGTCAATAACTAATTATCGGCAGGTTCTAGTGTATTAAAATTGATATGAGAAAATTGCTAAATGTCCACACCTCATTCTGCAATTCTAAAAGTTTACAAAATCATCGTAACTATCGAGTTATTAATGATTTTTCCTTGGCCGACAAGATGTCGGCCTCGCGGCCATCGATAGGTGGTGCTTAGATACCCGCGGACCAATAGGAAACGATTATCTCTATCCTTTTCGCACACTGGTGCTATCCTTGTCTAATACCTCTGTTTATATTCTGTAATCCTAATAAGAAATGGAATTACTGTTTTCAGCTGGTATTTTCTATCCCTGTTTAATTCACGGAGCCTCTTCGTCTAATTCCTCCTTGCATATTCTGTGTTCCTATTAAGTTAGAAGTTTCTCAGAGTGGAATTTCATGTGTAAACATGGTGTCATATTTCTCGATTCTCTGTCCTTTTCTATCTTTTCTCGTGACGACTCGAATTTATTCCAATTTATTTAAGAAGAATGAAAAAAAAGAGAGAAATGTCTTGTACATAATCCCCCGACTTTATCGTACTAAACAGATAAGTTTAGTAATAGAGAAATTGCGATGATTTTGTGAACTTTTAGTATTGAAGAATAAAGTGTAGACCTTCAACAACTTTCTCATGTAGATTTTAATGCACTAAACCCTTTGGATAGTTAGTTATTAACAATTTTAATACGCAATGTCGGGAATGATATCTCGTAATTATACGGGTTTTCCATAATTTCAGAGCTTTCTTCTAAGTTCTCATGTAACTAATTGTATGCGTCCGAAAGGCAACTCTTTTGGCTACATTCTCGTGTAATTTTTGTTAACATCTCCCGTGTGGTTTGATAGTTATTTAACATTTTTCGAGTGAGTAATATATCCGTCGCATTCAAACGTAACATATGTTCGTTGTTTCAATAGACATGCCTGATTAATTATCCACTTTCAAGCATGCAGAATGTAGAATGAACCTTTACTTATATTCTGCAATTAGTTTGGTATCCGTAAGTGATGTGGTTTATTAGATATTAGCAGTTGTTTCTAACATTTCACTATACTCGAGTACGACGAGTAGGGGACTCTCTCGAATAACGTTTAATAGCTCCTAAACTAAATCGAATATATTAATAAAGGTTACATTAGAATGCAGCCAAAAGATTTGCCATTCCGATGCGTATAGTTACTTCCATGAGAACT